CACTACTACTGCTACTAACACTACCACCATCTCAACTGTTTAGAAGTTGAGACGGTATTTGTTGAATTTAGCCAGAGTGATGTGTTAAATGCTGACGTCACAGTGGAAGAAGTTCAAAGAGTCATATGTTCAGCAAAAGCCCATAAAGCAGTAGGTGTTGATGAGATTCCCAACGAGGCTCTTAAGGCTCCACCTCTGCTCAATGTGCTGCACAGTCTCTTCCAAGCATGTTTTAAACAGGCAGCCATTCCTTCAGCCTGGTATCAGTCAATTATTAAACCTATAACTAAATCAGCCAAATATGATCCTCGAGTGCCCCTGAATTATAGAGGTATCAGTCTGATCAGCACTGTGTATAAGTTGGACCTGGGAATCCTCAACAGTAGACTCAATGACTTTCTGGAGATGAATGAGACCCTGGCAGACGAACAGAATGGCTTTGGAAAAGGCAGGGCCTGCATTGACCATATGTTTGTTTTATCATCTGTGCTGAGAGCCAGGCTGCAAGAGGGAAAATCTACATTTGCCTGCTTCATCCATTTTCAAAAAGCATTTGAATGGGTTAACAGGGATCTTCTGTGGTATAAGTTGCTGGGATATGGTGTTAAAGGAAGGTTTTATGACGCAATCAAGTCCCTCTACCAGGCCCCTGTTGCCTGTGTGCAAATTAACTATTTAAGAACGGGTTGGTTTCCCCCCTTTTGGAGTGAAACAGGGCGATGTATTATCACCAACTTTATTTTCTTTATATATAAAGACCTGGTGAATGAAATTAAAGAAGCCAACCTTGGTATTTGTATTGATGACTATTGATGACAAGACAAATTACAGAAGATGTTCAATATTGGACTGGCCCTAAACAAAGATAAAACACAAATTATGCATTTCCGTAAAAAGAATCAGTCACCAAGTACATATTCTTTCCTTTATGACCTTTCTCCATTAACCTACACACGTTCATATAAATACCTCGGGTTGGTCTTCAATGAGTTCATGGTTTTTACAGAGGGAACCCAGTCTCTGTGAGTCTGCAGGGAGAGCTCTGGGCTCCTTTAACCCAGTCTCTGTGTGAGTCTGCAGGAGAGCTCTGGGCTCCTTTAACCCAGTCTCTGTGTGAGTCTGCAGGAGAGCTCTGGGCTCCTTTAACCCAGTCTCTGTGTGAGTCTGCAGGAGAGCTCTGAGCTCCTTTAACCCAGTCTCTGTGTGAGTCTGCAGGGAGAGCTCTGAGCTCCTTTAACCCAGTCTCTGTGTGAGTCTGCAGGGAGAGCTCTGAGCTCCTTTAACCCAGTCTCTGTGAGTCTGCAGGGAGAGCTCTGGGCTCCTTTAACCCAGTCTCTGTGTGAGTCTGCAGGGAGAGCTCTGGACTCCTTTAACCCAGTCTCTGTGTGAGTCTGCAGGAGAGCTCTGGACTCCTTTAACCCAGTCTCTGTGAGTCTGCAGGAGAGCTCTGGGCTCCTTTAACCCAGTCTCTGTGTGAGTCTGCAGGGAGAGCTCTGGGCTCCTTTAACCCAGTCTCTGTGAGTCTGCAGGGAGAGCTCTGGGCTCCTTTAACCCAGTCTCTGTGTGAGTCTGCAGGAGAGCTCTGGGCTCCTTTAACCCAGTCTCTGTGTGAGTCTGCAGGAGAGCTCTGGGCTCCTTTAACCCAGTCTCTGTGTGAGTCTGCAGGGAGAGCTCTGGACTCCTTTAACCCAGTCTCTGTGTGAGTCTGCAGGAGAGCTCTGGGCTCCTTTAACCCAGTCTCTGTGTGAGTCTGCAGGGAGAGCTCTGGGCTCCTTTAACCCAGTCTCTGTGTGAGTCTGCAGGAGAGCTCTGGGCTCCTTTAACCCAGTCTCTGTGTGAGTCTGCAGGGAGAGCTCTGGCTCCTTTAACCCAGTCTCTGTGTGAGTCTGCAGGGAGAGCTCTGGACTCCTTTAACCAGTCTTGTGTGAGTCTGCAGGGAGAGCTCTGGGCTCCTTTAACCCAGTCTCTGTGTGAGTCTGCAGGGAGAGCTCTGGGCTCCTTTAACCCAGTCTCTGTGTGAGTCTGCAGGAGAGCTCTGGGCTCCTTTAACCCAGTCTCTGTGTGAGTCTGCAGGGAGAGCTCTGGGCTCCTTTAACCCAGTCTCTGTGTGAGTCTGCAGGGAGAGCTCTGGACTCCTTTAACCCAGTCTCTGTGTGAGTCTGCAGGGAGAGCTCTGGGCTCCTTTAACCCAGTCTCTGTGTGAGTCTGCAGGAGAGCTCTGGGCTCCTTTAACCCAGTCTCTGTGTGAGTCTGCAGGAGAGCTCTGGGCTCCTTTAACCCAGTCTCTGTGTGAGTCTGCAGGAGAGCTCTGGGCTCCTTTAACCCAGTCTCTGTGTGAGTCTGCAGGAGAGCTCTGGGCTCCTTTAACCCAGTCTCTGTGTGAGTCTGCAGGGAGAGCTCTGGACTCCTTTAACCCAGTCTCTGTGTGAGTCTGCAGGGAGAGCTCTGGCTCCTTTAACCCAGTCTCTGTGTGAGTCTGCAGGGAGAGCTCTGGGCTCCTTTAACCCGTCTCTGTGTGAGTCTGCAGGGAGAGCTCTGGGCTCCTTTAACCCAGTCTCTGTGAGTCTGCAGGGAGAGCTCTGGGCTCCTTTAACCCAGGTCTCTGTGTGAGTCTGCAGGAGAGCTCTGGGCTCCTTTAACCCAGTCTCTGTGTGAGTCTGCAGGAGAGCTCTGGGCTCCTTTAACCCAGTCTCTGTGTGAGTCTGCAGGGAGAGCTCTGGCTCCTTTAACCCAGTCTCTGTGTGAGTCTGCAGGAGAGCTCTGGGCTCCTTTAACCCAGTCTCTGTGTGAGTCTGCAGGGAGAGCTCTGGGCTCCTTTAACCCAGTCTCTGTGTGAGTCTGCAGGAGAGCTCTGGGCTCCTTTAACCCAG